ATTGAGTGCGCGGCTGAACAGACACAGAATACGGTACACATAGGATACGGCGACGCCGAGGTTTAGGCCAGGATTTTGACCCGGCCGCCCGGGAACCCATCTGCTCGCTCCGCCAGTGTGTCCCAAAAACGAATCATCTGGCATTTTGCCGTGTTACATCCAATCGTCGAGATTACCCAAGACCTTAAACGAAATTAGGGATTCGCAGCCGGAAGTCGATGTCTCCCAAAAAAAGAACCCCTGTGTCGGTCCGCAGTGATGTCCGATTTTTGCGATTTAGGTATCTATCGAAAGCTCCCCTCAAGATGAGGAGGTATGTTCTCTCCGATTTTCGAGTTCCCGGATTCTTATGACATTTGCAAACATTTTTGCGAAATTGGCTGCATTTTCGATGATTTTTTCCCATGCAAGTGTTTTCACAAAACCTCCATTTTCCAAATTTTTGCATCTTTCCGGGCAACCCAAGGTCAGCTTTTTGAGAGGCATTTGAGAAAACACAGCTTGGATGGGACTGAGCCGATTAATTTGTGCTTTTGCAAAACAATTTTTAATTTATGCCCAAAAACGCGGACAATCGGGTTAGAAATTCGGGAATTACCAATATCGGAGAGAAATATCTCCTCAATTTGTCGAGAGCTTTCGATAGATGTTGACAAGGCGCGAAGCCGCTTTCCATCCCTGGGTTGGTACCAGGCCCGTAGGGGGCCCAGGGGCCCTGGCCCCCCGAAATCGGTCGAGGTCCGAAAAATTTATAAGGGGGGACCCTTATGATTTGTAGTTCCAAAAATTTTTCTGCCTGCGGCGCTGTTTATTACTGTTTTTCAAACAGTTTTTACTTATATGAAGCCTATTTTTTCAAAATTTTTTGCCTGCGGCGCTGGTTTTTCATTGGAGAATCAAATGTTCATAAAAAATTTTCGCCTGCGGCGCGTTTTCTGTGGTGTTTTCACACGGATTTTGAGTTAGCAAACGCTTTTTGCTATTTTTGCCTTCGACGCTATTATTGACGCGATTTTCGGATGTTTTAAAGTGCCGACCGGGGGTCGCCAAAATTTTTGGCCCCCGAAATTTCGGTTCCGCTAAGGGCCTGGTTGGTACCCAGATCAAATTTACACATTTACAGGGGCGTGTTTGGGAGTGGCGCGGGCATCGAGGCCCAACAATGCTGCTTTTCGTTTTTTAATTTAATAAAATCGGAATTTCATAAAATTGTCAAAATACTTACAATTTTTACGCACCCCAAAATTAAAACCCTTTTTAGGTCAGCGATACTATTTTTAGCCTTTTTAATAAATTCCTTAAAATTTATCATGAGCCAAACTTTTGGCACACTGCAAATCGGCCGGGTCGCGACAGGATTCCTACTATAATGAAAGAAACCAGCATTTTTGATAAAGGCATCCGACTCAGCGTCCCGAAAACCTTTACTCTTGGCCAGGGAGCGTTCCTGGGCGGTTCTGGTAACTTGCCAAGTGACCGGGTCCCGAGTGGATTACTACCGTAAACGAAGAGCATATCAATATTTTGCGATCGCTATTGATGCGGAGTAGCGAGTTAAACGCAATGGCCTGTTTTTCCATTGCGTTTAACTCGCTACTCCGCATCAATAGCGATCGCAAAATATTGATATGCTCTTCGTTTACGGTAGTAATCCACTCGGGACCCGGTCACTTGGCAAGTTACCAGAACCGCCCAGGAACGCTCCCGGCCAAGAGTAAAGGTTTTCGGGACGCTGAGTCGGATGCCTTTATCAAAAATGCTGGTTTCTTTCATTATAGTAGGAATCCTGTCGCGACCCGGCCGATTTGCAGTGTGCCAAAAGTTTGGCTCATGATAAATTTTAAGGAATTTATTAAAAAGGCTAAAAATAGTATCGCTGACCTAAAAAGGGTTTTAATTTTGGGGTGCGTAAAAATTGTAAGTATTTTGACAATTTTATGAAATTCCGATTTTATTAAATTAAAACGAAAAGCAGCATTGTTGGGCCTCGATGCCCGCGCCACCCCAAACACGCCCCTGTAAATGTGAAATTTGATCTGGGTACCAACCAGGCCCTTAGCGGAACCGAAATTTCGGGGGGCCAAAATTTTGGCGACCTCCCCCGGTCGGCACTTTTAAAACATCCGAAAATCGCGTCAATAATAGCGTCGAAGGCAAAAAAAATAGCAAAAAAGCGTTTGCTACACTCAAATTCGTGTGAAAACACCACAGAAAACGCGCCGCAGGCGAAAATTTTTTATGAACATTTGATTCTCCAATGAAAAACCAGCGCCGCAGGCAAAAATTTTGAAAAATGGCTTCATATAAGTAAAACTGTTTGAAAACAGTAATAAACAGCGCCGCAGGCAGAAAATTTTGAACTACAAATCATAAGGGTCCCCCCTTATAAATTTTTCGGACCTCGACCGATTTCGGGGGGGCCAGGGCCCCCTGGGCCCTCCTACGGGCCTGGTACCAACCCAGGGATGGAAAGCGGCTTCGCGCCTTGTCAACATCTATCGAAAGCTCTCGACAAATTGAGGAGATATTTCTCTCCGATATTGGTAATTCCCGAATTTCTAACCCGATTGTCCGCGTTTTTGGGCATAAATTAAAAATTGTTTGCAAAGCACAAATTAATCGGCTCAGTCCCATCCAAGCTGTGTTTTCTCAAATGCCCTCTCAAAAAGCTGACCTTGGGTTGCCCGGAAAGATGCAAAAATTTGGAAAATGGAGGTTTTGTGAAAACACTTGCATGGGAAAAAATCATCGAAAATGCAGCCAATTTCGCAAAAATGTTTGCAAATGTCATAAGAATCCGGGAACTCGAAAATCGGAGAGAACATACCTCCTCATCTTGAGGGGAGCTTTCGATAGATACCTAAATCGCAAAAATCGGACATCACTGCGGACCGACACAGGGGTTCTTTTTTTGGGAGACATCGACTTCCGGCTGCGAATCCCTAATTTCGTTTAAGGTCTTGGGTAATCTCGACGATTGGATGTAACACGGCAAAATGCCAGATGATTCGTTTTTGGGACACACTGGCGGAGCGAGCAGATGGGTTCCCGGGCGGCCGGGTCAAAATCCTGGCCTAAACCTCGGCGTCGCCGTATCCTATGTGTACCGTATTCTGTGTCTGTTGCTCTGCCAGGGTGTATATCTGGCCGCGGAATGCCGGTGCATGCGGGTGTCGTAACGGTTTATTCAAATCAAAGAAGTATTGACAGGGTAGTACAAATTCAAATGCTGGGACATTAAAGGCATTGTTGCTTCAGCTGGAATTTATTTAGGGGCGGAAGAGATAAGCATGTAAAGTTTTGAAGACGACCGAATGCATCGGATTAATGCTGCCGAGGTTTCAGGTAGCAGTAAAGCCATGTTTTTGCGGCTGCCACCTTGTCGGGACGACAGCCCAATGCGTCACGAATTTCTTGGCATAAGACGTGACGCTGGTTTCCGAGACTCCGAAATGGTAGGAGACAAAGGGATACAGCACGCAGCGATTTCAGTAGGTGGATCAGCTGAAAGATACCAAAGCATTAGGGGTGCACGAAAACAGACAAAAACGGCAACCTGTAAATTACGACCCCGTGCGACCCCGTACGCCCTCCTGGAAAATGCGACCCCTGGATAGTACGACCCCTGGAAATTACGCTCTCCTGGAAAATACGCCCCTTCTCTAGCGAACGCCTGGAAAGTAAGACCTCCTGGAAAGTACGACACTGGATATAGAGGGTCGCCTATAGATTTAATCGGTGAAAAATTAAGTTTAACTAGCTTTAACACTATAATGACGCGGTTTTGTTTAATCAGAAGGCAAGGACTAACAATGTTCCGGCAGAGATATTTTTATCCCATTGAATTACATCTGATCGAATTGCATCCCATCGAATTACAAGACAGGAAAACTGGAATTCAAACACTAGGATTGATCGCAATTCAAACAGTGGTTTAGCACCTTGCGAAAAGTCGCAAAATCGGCGTTATGGGAACCAGCATTCTGTAAAATCGGCATCATGAAAATCAGCATTATAATAGTGGGCCCTATGAAAATCGGCATTATGTAGGTAACTCGAGATACCTGTATCGGTGGTCGGGTCTTTTCGCTCGGGGTTTTCAAGAAATAGCCACCACGGTTTATTTGCTAAAATCAGTAATCCGTTAACCAGGAGTGGTTTTTAGGTTATCTTGGAATGTTGCGATGTGACATAGCTCATTCGATAGAGGTTGAAATTCTGAACAGATCCCATCTTTCAAAAACTCCTGAACGACAACGGCCTACGAGCAGGGACGTAGCGTAATACAGGCCCCGGGGGCCCGCGCCCCCGAATTCGGCTGGGGCCCGAAAATTTCATAAGGGGGACCCTTGTGATTTTGATTTTCTCAAAAATTTTGCTGCCTGCGGCGCTATTTTTTCACGTTTTTACTGCTATTTGTAGAAATATATAGCCTTTTTTCCAAAATTTTTCGCCTGCGGCGCTGTTTTTTTTTGAGTTTTTCGAAAAAAATTTTCGGGGCCCCCGAATTTTTTTCCTGGCTACGCCCTTGCCTACGAGAATTAGTTTCTCAAAGTTCGCATTTTGGTAAGCGTGGGTTAAAATGCTCAAAATCGGCGCTTCAGAGCGACTCTTCTCGAAAACCGTAGTCGTTCAGCATGAAAAAAATGGGATTTGTTCAGAATTTCAAGCCTGTATCGAATGGGCTAAATTTGCTTATACGGTCACCTAATCAAAACCTAACGTTTGATATGTCAAAATGCCCAGCAGGATACACTCTATCTCGAGATACACGATTTCGTAGTTCAATATTCTGACTTCGAAAAATCGGTTTTCGCTGATCGCTAAGAGCAATAACGGTTCGATGCTTTACAGTTTGAGCCTAAAAAAGGCTTCGTGCCACCCAGGGCCTAGTAACTTCGGATGGGGGCGAGCTCGTACAGGGTTTCGACATGGCGGCGCCAAGGCCGGCGTAGCGGCTGGGGGCGCCCCCATTTCGAAAGAGTGGAGAGGCAGCCTAT